CATAACACAGGCCAGCTAGAGTATCCGGCCAGTACACATAACACAGGCCAGCTAGAGTATCCGGCCAGTACACATAACACAGGCCAGCTAGAGTATCCGGCCAGTACACATAACACAGGCCAGCTAGAGTATCTGGCCAGTACACATAACACAGGCCAGCTAGAGTATCCGGCCAGTACACATAACACAGGCCAGCTAGAGTATCCGGCCAGTACACATAACACAGGCCAGCTAGAGTATCCGGCCAGTACACATAACACAGGCCAGCTAGAGTATCCGGCCAGTACACATAACACAGGCCAGCTAGAGTATCCGGCCAGTACACATAACACAGGCCAGCTAGAGTATCCGGCCAGTACACATAACACAGGCCAGCTAGAGTATCCGGCCAGTACACATAACACAGGCCAGCTAGAGTATCTGGCCAGTACACATAACACAGGCCAGCTAGAGTATCTGGCCAGTACACATAACACAGGCCAGCTAGAGTATCCGGCCAGTACACATAACACAGGCCAGCTAGAGTATCCGGCCAGTACACATAACACAGGCCAGCTAGAGTATCCGGCCAGTACACATAACACAGGCCAGCTAGTATCCGGCCAGTATCACGGCCAGTACAGTATCCGGCCAGTACACATAACACAAGCCAGCTAGAGTATCTGGCCAGTACACATAACACAGGCCAGCTAGAGTATCCGGCCAGTACACATAACACAGGCCAGCTAGAGTATCCGGCCAGTACACATAACACAAGCCAGCTAGAGTATCTGGCCAGTACACATAACACAGGCCAGCTAGAGTATCCGGCCAGTACACATAACACAGGCCAGCTAGAGTATCCGGCCAGTACACATAACACAAGCCAGCTAGAGTATCTGGCCAGTACACATAACACAGGCCAGCTAGAGTATCCGGCCAGTACACATAACACAGGCCAGCTAGAGTATCCGGCCAGTACACATAACACAAGCCAGCTAGAGTATCTGGCCAGTACACATAACACAGGCCAGCTAGAGTATCCGGCCAGTACACATAACACAGGCCAGCTAGAGTATCCGGCCAGTACACATAACACAAGCCAGCTAGAGTATCTGGCCAGTACACATAACACAGGCCAGCTAGAGTATCCGGCCAGTACACATAACACAGGCCAGCTAGAGTATCCGGCCAGTACACATAACACAAGCCAGCTAGAGTATCTGGCCAGTACACATAACACAGGCCAGCTAGAGTATCCGGCCAGTACACATAACACAAGCCAGCTAGAGTATCTGGCCAGTACACATAACACAGGCCAGCTAGAGTATCCGGCCAGTACACATAACACAAGCCAGCTAGAGTATCTGGCCAGTACACATAACACAGGCCAGCTAGAGTATCCGGCCAGTACACATAACACAGGCCAGCTAGAGTATCTGGCCAGTACACATAACACAGGCCAGCTAGAGTATCCGGCCAGTACACATAACACAAGCCAGCTAGAGTATCTGGCCAGTACACATAACACAGGCCAGCTAGAGTATCCGGCCAGTACACATAACACAAGCCAGCTAGAGTATCTGGCCAGTACACATAACACAGGCCAGCTAGAGTATCCGGCCAGTACACATAACACAGGCCAGCTAGAGTATCTGGCCAGTACACATAACACAGGCCAGCTAGAGTATCTGGCCAGTACATATAACACAAGCCAGCTAGAGTATCCGGCCAGTACACATAACACAGGCCAGCTAGTGTACCTGGCCAGTACACATAACACAGGCCAGCTAGAGTATCCGGCCAGTACACATAACACAGGCCAGCTAGAGTATCCGGCCAGTACACATAACACAGGCCAGCTAGAGTATCCGGCCAGTACACATAACACAGGCCAGCTAGAGTATCCGGCCAGTACACATAACACAGGCCAGCTAGAGTATCCGGCCAGTACACATAACACAGGCCAGCTAGAGTATCCGGCCAGTACACATAACACAGGCCAGCTAGAGTATCTGGCCAGTACACATAACACAGGCCAGCTAGAGTATCCGGCCAGTACACATAACACAGGCCAGCTAGAGTATCCGGCCAGTACACATAACACAGGCCAGCTAGAGTATCTGGCCAGTACACATAACACAGGCCAGCTAGAGTATCTGGCCAGTACACATAACACAGGCCAGCTAGAGTATCCGGCCAGTACACATAACACAGGCCAGCTAGAGTATCTGGCCAGTACACATAACACAGGCCAGCTAGAGTATCTGGCCAGTACACATAACACAGGCCAGCTAGAGTATCCGGCCAGTACACATAACACAGGCCAGCTAGAGTATCCGGCCAGTACACATAACACAGGCCAGCTAGAGTATCCGGCCAGTACACATAACACAGGCCAGCTAGTGTATCTGGCCAGTACACATAACACAGGCCAGCTAGTGTATCCGGCCAGTACACATAACACAGGCCAGCTAGAGTATCTGGCCAGTACACATAACACAGGCCAGCTAGTGTATCTGGCCAGTACACATAACACAGGCCAGCTAGAGTATCCGGCCAGTACACATAACACAGGCCAGCTAGAGTATCCGGCCAGTACACATAACACAGGCCAGCTAGAGTATCCGGCCAGTACACATAACACAGGCCAGCTAGAGTATCCGGCCAGTACACATAACACAGGCCAGCTAGAGTATCCGGCCAGTACACATAACACAAGCCAGCTAGAGTATCTGGCCAGTACACATAACACAGGCCAGCTAGAGTATCTGGCCAGTACACATAACACAGGCCAGCCAGAGTATCTGGCCAGTACACATAACACAGGCCAGCTAGAGTATCCGGCCAGTACACATAACACAGGCCAGCTAGAGTATCCGGCCAGTACACATAACACAGGCCAGCTAGAGTATCTGGCCAGTACACATAACACAGGCCAGCTAGAGTATCCGGCCAGTACACATAACACAGGCCAGCTAGAGTATCCGGCCAGTACACATAACACAGGCCAGCTAGAGTATCAGGCCAGTACATATAACACAGGCCAGCTAGAGTATCCGGCCAGTACACATAACACAGGCCAGCTAGAGTATCTGGCCAGTACACATAACACAGGCCAGCTAGAGTATCCGGCCAGTACACATAACACAGGCCAGCTAGAGTATCCGGCCAGTACACATAACACAGGCCAGCTAGAGTATCTGGCCAGTACACATAACACAGGCCAGCTAGAGTATCTGGCCAGTACACATAACACAGGCCAGCTAGAGTATCCGGCCAGTACACATAACACAGGCCAGCTAGAGTATCTGGCCAGTACACATAACACAGGCCAGCTAGAGTATCTGGCCAGTACACATAACACAGGCCAGCTAGAGTATCCGGCCAGTACACATAACACAGGCCAGCTAGAGTATCTGGCCAGTACACATAACACAGGCCAGCTAGAGTATCCGGCCAGTACACATAACACAGGCCAGCTAGAGTATCTGGCCAGTACACATAACACAGGCCAGCTAGAGTATCTGGCCAGTACACATAACACAGGCCAGCTAGAGTATCCGGCCAGTACACATAACACAGGCCAGCTAGAGTATCTGGCCAGTACACATAACACAGGCCAGCTAGAGTATCTGGCCAGTACACATAACACAGGCCAGCTAGAGTATCCGGCCAGTACACATAACACAGGCCAGCTAGAGTATCCGGCCAGTACACATAACACAGGCCAGCTAGAGTATCTGGCCAGTACACATAACACAGGCCAGCTAGAGTATCCGGCCAGTACACATAACACAGGCCAGCTAGAGTATCCGGCCAGTACACATAACACAGGCCAGCTAGAGTATCTGGCCAGTACACATAACACAGGCCAGCTAGAGTATCCGGCCAGTACACATAACACAGGCCAGCTAGTGTATCCGGCCAGTACACATAACACAGGCCAGCTAGTGTATCCGGCCAGTACACATAACACAGGCCAGCTAGAGTATCCGGCCAGTACACATAACACAGGCCAGCTAGAGTATCTGGCCAGTACACATAACACAGGCCAGCTAGAGTATCCGGCCAGTACACATAACACAGGCCAGCTAGTGTATCCGGCCAGTACACATAACACAGGCCAGCTAGAGTATCCGGCCAGTACACATAACACAGGCCAGCTAGAGTATCTGGCCAGTACACATAACACAGGCCAGCTAGAGTATCCGGCCAGTACACATAACACAGGCCAGCTAGAGTATCCGGCCAGTACATATAACACAGGCCAGCTAGTGTATCTGGCCAGTACACATAACACAGGCCAGCTAGAGTATCCGGCCAGTACACATAACACAGGCCAGCTAGAGTATCTGGCCAGTACACATAACACAGGCCAGCTAGAGTATCCGGCCAGTACACATAACACAGGCCAGCTAGAGTATCTGGCCAGTACACATAACACAGGCCAGCTAGAGTATCTGGCCAGTACACATAACACAGGCCAGCTAGAGTATCCGGCCAGTACACATAACACAGGCCAGCTAGAGTATCCGGCCAGTACACATAACACAGGCCAGCTAGAGTATCCGGCCAGTACACATAACACAGGCCAGCTAGAGTATCCGGCCAGTACACATAACACAGGCCAGCTAGAGTATCTGGCCAGTACACATAACACAGGCCAGCTAGAGTATCCGGCCAGTACACATAACACAGGCCAGCTAGAGTATCCGGCCAGTACACATAACACAGGCCAGCTAGAGTATCCGGCCAGTACACATAACACAGGCCAGCTAGAGTATCCGGCCAGTACACATAACACAGGCCAGCTAGAGTATCTGGCCAGTACACATAACACAGGCCAGCTAGAGTATCCGGCCAGTACACATAACACAGGCCAGCTAGAGTATCCGGCCAGTACACATAACACAGGCCAGCTAGAGTATCTGGCCAGTACACATAACACAGGCCAGCTAGAGTATCCGGCCAGTACACATAACACAGGCCAGCTATGCACTAGGAGACCAAGCATGTACCCCCACAGCAACTGCTCCTGACTTACTGTTAACTGTTCTCATTAATGACACTATGTAAAATGACACCTCGAACACTATGTACGGCCGACGTAAATCTGTATATTTATGTCTGTAAGTTAGATTAGCAATTTTAAAAGCACAATACAATCACCTTCTGTGGTTGTTCAATAAACCGCTGTACTATATGTTTAACACATCTCTAACCCTGTCCATGGGGGCCAGAAGAAAATGTATATATGCTGGTTAGCATTGTAAATGTGTGGCCACGTCTGTGGGAGGAAAATAAATGTCAAATGCATTCCATCTGTTAACTACCCTGACACTGAAAAAGTTTTATCTAACGTCCCTGTGACTCATTTGGCCACTCAGTATCCACCTGTGTCCCCTTGTTTGCGTTCCACACGTGCTAAACAGTTTATCTTAATGTACCCTGTCAATTCCTCTCAGATTTTTATAAGTAGTAATCATGTCTCCCCTAACTCTTCTGTCTTCCAGTGTCGTAAGGTTTAGTTCCAGTAATCTTTCCTCGTAGCTCATATCCCTCAGCTCCGGGACCAGTCTAGTGGCATACACTGAACCTTTTATTAACTTCCTTTTGTGTTTGACTTGATGATGACTGGAGGGTGGCGTCGCGTGTGAAGACAAGTGTTAACATCCCGCCAGGACCAGTGTCAGCCACACGTCACTGCTACAAGTATTTGCGCCTGACACTCCAATAATCCCCAAACCACTTAGGTGTATTATATGCCCGAATTTGCCCGATATATATGTATATTTTGCCCGATATATGTATTATATGCCCGAATACTATATTTTCCCGGGACGCTGTGCATACCAGTGGCTTCAGGCAAGGTATATAGTACTACTCTATCTAGAACTCCAACATTCTGCATTTTGTATGTTTGTACTTTTCCCTAAATAAAATTATCATTATGATTCTCATCATATAAAATAAGAGGATGAGTGTTGGACACACTCGTACTGACACACCTGTTGATTGACGGTTGAGAGGCGGGACCAAAGAGCCAGAGCTCAACCCCCGCAAGCACAATTAGGTGAGTACACCTTAATAGGGGACTGAAGGGGAGCAAAACCAGACAATTAAGAGCAATACGTCACAAGAGAAGAATGAGAACGGTAAGTCCAGGATCAAATTCAAAATGTTTCAAAATTCAAATTCAAATGTTTATTCAGGTAAAGTACATACATACAAGGTGAGATACAAACATTGATGGATTTATAGATAGAGCTAGTACATACAATGCCTAAAGCCACTATTACGCAAAGCGTTTCGGGCAGGAAAAACACTAAGACTAAAACTTAATACTAATTGAGATTAAAATATAAAATGTGTTGAGACAATATAAAACAACTCACATGGACGCGTACCATTAATACACAAGGTGATGACACTTTGAAAGTATTACTTTATTTATCAGTTTAAAAAAGGTAATTCCTAATTATGTTCCCTAAGAGAGGCAAAGATAATAGAGTGATAAGGTGGTGGGTACAAGATAACACTACTGACTACCCTGGAGAGTACCAGGTGACCTTGAGGTACTTGGTGTTGGACCCCCAGAGCCTTCATCACACACCCCACACACTCTCTACTCTCTCACTGTACGTGGTCTTATATACCGGTGAGCGGGGGACCCCCAGAGCCTTCATCACACACCCCACACACTCTCTACTCTCTCACTGTACGTGGTCTTATATACCGGTGAGCGGGGCGTGTGAGTTACTCGGCACCTTCTGAGGTGGCTGAGGTAATCCTGGTGGATCACCACGGTGGCAGCGTCGTATCCACCAACCTCGTCACCTCCTTACCCTTGACCTGAGCTGACCTGGCCCTTGGTTACCACCTGACTAGGGTGTGTGTTTCTAATGGTGTTCCGTCAACTAGCCAGCCACGCGCCAAACTGTTGCTGTTATGTTGTTCTGTTGTGTACTGCTCTCTTCTTACAAGGCAGTGATGCGGTGGAGGCAAACTTAACACACAGTTTCAAGTGTAGATATGACAGAGCCCAGTAGGCTCAGTAATCTGTACATAAGTTGATTGACAGTTGAGAGGCGGGACCAAAGAACCAAAGCTCAACCCCCGCAAGCACAAATAGGTGAGTACACACGCGCGCGCGCGTGCGTGTACTCACACACACACACACACACACACATTGACGGTTGAGAGGCGGGACCAAAGAGCCAGAGCTCAACCCCCACAAGCACAATTAGGTGAGTACACACACACACACACACACACACACACAAACTTCTTAACCCAGCATGTCAGAGAACCCACAAGGATGAGAGGAAATGACGAACCAGCGAGACTCGACCTGGTTTTCACCCTGAACGACTCTGACATAAGAGAAATCAGTTTTGAGGACCCAGTAGGAATGAGCGACCACAGTGTATTGGTGTTTGAGTTCCTGATTGAAGAAGGGTTATTGAACTCGAGGAAGGATACCGAAAGCAAAAGGTTAACATACCGAAAGGGAAATTATGAGGAGATAAGAAAATGCCTAGTAGATATAGCATGGGAAACAGAGCTCAGGGAAAAGACGGCCCAAGATATGATGGAATACATCACGCAAAAATGCAAGGACGCAGCAAACAAGTTTGTCCCAGTCCGAAAGGAAAACAGTGAAATGAAGATGAGAAACACATGGTTTAATCAGAGATGTAGGCTAGCTAGGCAGCAAAGTAAAAGGGCATGGAGAAACCATAGGAATAACAGGACACTGGAGAGCAGAGAAAGATACCAGAATGCCAGAAATGAATATGTCAGGATGAGAAGAGAGGCAGAAAGACAAAACGAAATGACATCGCAAGCAAGGCAAAGACTCAGCCTAAATTCCTGCATAGACACATCAGGAGAAAAACAACAGTAAAGGAACAGGTTATGAAATTAAGGATAGGGGCAGAAGGATTCACTACAAACGACAAGGAAGTGTGTGAGGAACTGAATAAGAAATTCCAAGAGGTCTTCACCTTAGAGCAAGGAGAAATCCCAGAGATAACAGAGGGAATAGCTAACCAGGAACCACTGGAAGAGTTTGAGATTACCAGCGGGGAAGTAAGGAAGTGTTTACTAGAATTGGATGTGATAAAGGCTGCAGGCCCAGATGGAATCTCCCCTTGGATACTAAAGGAAGGAGCAGAAGAACTGTGCCTCCCGCTCTCCATGGTGTATAACAAATCACTGGCAACAGGGGAACTGCCAGAAATTTGGAAAGCAGCTAACGTAGTCCCGATATACAAGAAAGGGGATAGACAGGAGGCACTGAATTACAGACCAGTGTCCCTAACCTGCATACCATGCAAGATGATGGAGAAGATTGTGCGAAGAAAGCTAGTGACGCACCTGGAGCGAAAGAACTTTGTAACACAGCACCAACATGGATTCAGGTATGGCAGGTCCTGCCTCACAGGGTTACTTGAATTCTACGACCAGGCAACAAAAATAAGGCAAGAAAGAGAAGGGTGGGCAGACTGCATATTTTTGGATTGTCAGAAAGCCTTTGATACAGTGCCACACAAGAGGCTAGTGAAAAAACTGGAGATGCAGGCTGGAGTGAAAGGGAAGGTACTCCGTTGGATACAAGAGTACCTAAGTAACAGGAGACAACGACTCAGTGTGAGGGGTGAGGTCTCAGATTGGCGAGACGTTACGAGTGGAGTACCGCAGGGGTCAGTACTTGGACCTATACTGTTTCTGATATATGTAAATGATCTTCCAGAGGGTATAGAATCGTTTCTCTCAATGTTTGCCGATGATGCAAAAATTATGAGGATTGAAACTGAGGACGATAGTAGGAGGCTACAAGATGACCTAGACAGACTGAGTGAATGGTCCATGGCTGTTGAAGTTCATTTACCCGAGTAAATGCAAAGTAATGAAACTAGGTGGTGGAAATAGGAGGCCAAACACAGGATACAGAACAGGAGATGAAGTACTTAATGAAACGAACAGAGAGAAAGATCTAGGAGTTGATATCACACCAAACCTGTCTCCTGAAGCCCAAATAAAAAGAATAACGTCTGCGGCATATGCGAGGCTGGCTAACATCAAAACAGCGTTCAGGAACCTGTGTAAGGAATCATTCAGAATCTTGTACACCACATATGTAAGACCAATCCTGGAGTATGCGGCTCCAGCATGGAGCCCGTACCTTGTCAAGCACAAAACGAAGCTGGAAAAAGTCCAAAGTATGCCACGAGACTAGTCCCAGAACTAAGAGGCATGAGTTACGAGGAAAGGCTGCGGGAAATGCACCTTACGACACTGGAAGACAGAAGATTGAGGGGAGACATGATCACTACCTACAAAATCCTTAGAGGAATCGACCGGGTAAACAAGGATAAACTATTCAACACTGGTGGGACACGAACAAGGGGACACAGGTGGAAACTGAGTACCCACATGAGCCACAGAGACGTTAGAAGGAACTTTTTCAGTGTCAGAGTAGTTAACGGATGGAATGCACTAGGCAGTGATGTGGTGGAGGCTGACTCCATACACAGTTTTAAATGTAGATATGATAGAGCCCAGTAGGCTCAGGAATCTGTACACCAGTTGATTGACAGTTGAGAGGCGGGACCAAAGAGCCAAAGCTCAACCTCCGCAAGCACAAATAGGTGAGTACACACACACACACAGAATTATATGAACATGTTTGCTGATGATGCTAAGATAATAGGAAGGATATGAAATTTAGATGATTGTCATGCCCTTCAAGAAGACCTGGACAAAATAAGTAGATGGAGCACCACTTAGCAAATGGAATTTAATGTTAATAAATGCCATGTTATGGAATGTGGAATAGGAGAACATAGACCCCACACAACCTATATATTATGTGAGAAATCTTTAAAGAATTCTGATAAAGAAAGAGATCTAGGGGTGGTTCTAGATAGAAAACTATCACCTGAGGACCACATAAAGAATATTGTGCGAGGAGCCTATGCCACGCTTTCTAACTTCAGAATTGCATTTAAATATATGGATGGCGATATACTAAAGAAATTGTTCACGACTTTTGTTAGGCCAAAGCTAGAATATGCAGCGGTTGTGTGGTGCCCATATCTTAAGAAGCACATCAACAAACTGGAAAAGGTGCAAAGACATGCTACTAAGTGGCTCCCAGAACTGAAGGGCAAGAGCTACGAGGAGAGGTTTGAAGCATTAAACATGCCAAAACTAGAAGACAGAAGAAAAAGAGGTGATATGATCACTACGTACAAAATAGTAACAGGAATTGATAAAATCGACAGGGAAGATTTCCTGAGACCTGGCACTTCAAGAACAAGAGGTCATAGATTTAAACTAACTAAACAAAGATGCCGAAGATATATAAGAAAATTCACTTTCGCAAACAGAGTGGTAGACGGTTGGAACCAGTTAAGTGAGAAGGTGGTGGAGGCCAAGACCGTCAGTAGTTTCAAAGCGTTATATGACAATAAGAGTGGTGGGAAGACGGGACACCACGAGCGTAGCTCTCATCCTGTAACTACACTTAGGTAATTACACACACATTATGTCAGTACGACAGCTTCTGTACAAAAGTTACCAAGACTTCCACAAGAGCTCACAGCCTCACGTATGTTGCATTATATAATGAATATAACATTATTATTTTAATCAAGAGGACGAAACGCTTTGCATATTAGTGGCTTTACATAATTTACATTGTTCATCTACGAATTCTTCACTGTATGATGCAGCAAGTGTATGTACTGTTATATAAATACAAAATTATTATTATAGTTATTATAAATTCCGCAAGATAACGTTTCCCATTTAGAGGACGGCACGTGCCTGGCGGCGCTGCCAGACGCAAGATTTGTTTACCTCCCTGACCTTCACGTGAGCACCCGAGGCGTCTTCTCCAGCCTGGTCCTCTAGCCTGCTCCTCTAGCCTGGTCCTCCAGCCTGGTCCTCTAGCCTGGTCCTCTAGCCCAGTCCTCTAGCCTGGTCCTCTAGCCTGGTCCTCTAGCCTGGTCCTCTAGCCTAGTCCTCTAGCCTAGTCCTCTAGCCTAGTCCTTTAGCCTAGTTCTCTAGCCTGCTCCTATAGCCTGGTCTTCTAGTCTGGTCCTCTTGCTTGGTCCTCCTGCATGCTCCTCTAGCCTAGTCCTCTAGCCTAGTCCTCTAGCCAGGTCCTCCTGCATGCTCCTCCAGCCTGGTCCTCTAGCCTAGTCCTCTAACCTAGTCCTCTAGCCAGGTCCTCTAGTCTGCTCCTCCAGCCTGCTCCTCCAGCCTGCTCCTCCTTCCTCAACAAATATATGCCAATGAATTATATTAAGAATCTCGGATGTAAATGTGGGAAGGAGCGTACAAGACCATCACACTGAACACTTTAGAACCTCTTTCATTAGTTGTCGAACGCGAATAGAGCTTGCAAGATGTCTCAATACATCAATATCTTGCAAGTTTACGAATTGTAAACCCCGTGTGAAGTACCAAGGTTACATACAAACTAGTTGTAACCGAAACTTGTTTCGCTACGCGTGCTAGTGGCTTCACAAGAATGTTAATTCAAGTTACTTTTTATATTCTCTGTTAACCCCCAGTGTAACTTCTTATATATAAATAAATAAATAAAAGTTGTATTGTGAGAGAGGTAGGCGAAGTGCGTGTTAGAGAAGGAGGTACCGTAACCTAGGCTATGTAGCTCTGGTAACTTACCTTGTGTATGTTGAGATGAGGTGAGAGTAGGTGGAGGCGGGTATGAGAGCTGTGGCTGTGATCCTGGCACTGTGGAACACCAACTGTCTAGTGGAGGGTGGAACATGAGACTCCTGCGTTGCTCCCGCCATATCTACCCGCGCCTCCCAACCTTCCCTTACGATAACTTCAATCATTGTCTTCCTCTCTCTCCCTATACCTTACATCTAACACACATATATGTGATCATTTTGAGAGGTACTTAAATTTCTATGTTGTTTTGGGTCAATTCCTGGATGAAGAATGTCTAATATACGACTTGGTTATAGATAAACATAATATCTCTCACCAAGCAGCTTTCTGTAAACGGTATCATGGGGTCGTGACGTCACCAGCTCACGCGCTCCCATTGGCTGGCTGCCACACCGTGCCCTCACGCGCAGCCAATCATGAGCTAAATATGAGGGGCTCGGCCGTACTCTTACTCAGGCCCGCAGTAAACCTTCTTTTCTACTTTATAGATAATCTTACCTTACTTCATTGTCTAGTAGTTACAGGAGCCACAACAGTCAGCCCATATCTGTAGTAAAGCCGATCTAAAGTTACCCCGGGCAGTGAGCAGGTGTTGGCGGCAGGTAGTGAAGTTTACGCTCAGATTCGTAGTTGCCCAACATGTATCCGACCCGCTATGTTAGTTAGTGGCTCGGTATGAATATAAAAATACTATCTTATGTAATCTCGCCAAACCATTGTATCTTCTTGTGAATAAATTATTACTTTTATTATTATTATTATTATTATTATTATTATTATTATTATTATTATTATTATTATTATTATTATTATTATTATTATTATTATTATTATTATGAGGAATCCGACAGATACTACAGGAAGTACGCTCCTCGTGCGTCCCAATGTCCCTCTGTCCCTTCTCGTGCGTCCCACTGTCACTCCTCGTGCGTCCCAATGTCCCTCTGTCACTCCTCGTGCGTCCCAATGTCCCTCTGTCCCTTCTCGTGCGTCCCAATGTCACTCCGTGCGTCCCAATGTCCCTCTGTCACTCCTCGTGCGTCCCAATGTCCCTCTGTCCCTTCTCGTGCGTCCCAATGTCACTCCGTGCGTCCCAATGTCCCACTGTCACTCCTCGTGCGTCCCAATGTCCCTCTGTCACACCTCGTGCGTCTCAATGGTCCTCTGTCCCTTCTCGTGCGTCCCAATGTCACTCCGTGCGTCCCAATGTCCCACTGTCACTCCTCGTGCGTCCCAATGTCCCTCTGTCACTCCTCGTGCATCCCAATGTCCCTCTGTCACTCCTCGTGCGTCCCAATGTCCCTCTGTCACTCCTCGTGTGTCCCAATGTCCCACTGTCACTCCTCGTGCGTCCCAATGTCCCTCTGTCACTCCTCGTGCGTCCCAATGTCCCTCTGTCACTCCTCGTGCGTCCCAATGTCCCTCTGTCCCTTCTCGTGCGTCCCAATGTCCCTCTGTCACTCCTCGTGCGTCCCAATGTCCCTCTGTCCCTTCTCGTGCGTCCCAATGTCACTCCGTGCGTCCCAATGTCCCTCTGTCACTCCTCGTGCGTCCCAATGTCCCTCTGTCCCTTCTCGTGCCTCCCAATGTCACTCCGTGCGTCCCAATGTCCCTCTGTCACTCCTCGTGCGTCCCAATGTCCCTCTGTCCCTTCTCGTGTGTCCCAATGTCACTCCGTGCGTCCCAATGTCTCACTGTCACTCCTCGTGCGTCCCAATGTCCCTCTGTCACTCCTCGTGCGTCCCAATGTCCCTCTGTCCCTTCTCGTGCGTCCCAATGTCACTCCGTGCATCCCAATGTCCCACTGTCACTCCTCGTGCGTCCCAATGTCCCTCTGTCACTCCTCGTGCGTCCCAATGCCCCTCTGTCACTCCTCGTGCGTCCCAATGTCCCTCTGTCACTCCTCGTGCGTCCCAATGTCCCTTCTCGTGCGTCCCAATGTCACTCCGTGCGTCCCAATGTCCCTATGTCACTCCTCGTGCGTCCCAATGTCCCTCTGTCCCTTCTCGTGCGTCCCAATGTCACTCCGTGCGTCCCAATGTCCCTCTGTCACTCCTCGTGCGTCCCAATGTCCCTCTGTCACTCCTCGTGCGTCCCAATGTCCTTCTGTCACTCCTCGTGCGTCCCAATGTCCCTCTGTCACTCCTCGTGCGTCCCAATGTCCCTCTGTCACTCCTCGTGCGTCCCAATGTCACTCCGTGTGTCCCAATGTCCCTCTGTCACTCCTCGTGCGTCCCAATGTCCCTCTGTCACTCCTCGTGCGTCCCAATGTCCCACTGTCACTCCTCGTGCGTCCCAATGTCCCTCTGTCACTCCTCGTGCGTCCCAATGTCCCTCTGTCACTCCTCGTGCGTCCCAATGTCCCTCTGTCCCTTCTCGTGCGTCCCAATGTCACTCCGTGCGTCCCAATGTCCCTCTGTCACTCCTCGAGCGTCCCAATGTCCCTCTGTCACTCCTCGTGCGTCCCAATGTCCCTCTGTCACTCCTCGTGCGTCCCAATGTCCCTCTGTCACTCCTCGTGCGTCCCAATGTCCCTTCTCGTGCGTCCCAATGTCACTCCGTGCGTCCCAATGTCCCTCTGTCACTCCTCGTGCGTCCCAATGTCCCTCTGTCCCTTCTCGTGCGTCTCAATGTCACTCCGTGCGTCTCAATGTCCCTCTGTCACTCCTCGTGCGTCCCAATGTCCCTCTGTCACTCCTCGTGCGTCCCAATGTCCCTCTGTCACTCCTCGTGCGTCCCAATGTCCCTCTGTCACTCCTCGTGCGTCCCAATGTCCCTCTGTCACTCCTCGTGCGTCCCAATGTCCCTCTGTCACTCCTCGTGCGTCCCAATGTCCCTCTGTCACTCCTCGTGCGTCCCAATGTCCCTCTGTCACTCCTCGTGCGTCCCAATGTCACTCCGTGTGTCCCAATGTCCCTCTGTCACTCCTCGTCCCTCTGTCACTCCTCGTGCGTCCCAATGTCCCTCTGTCACTCCTCGTGCGTCCCAATGTCCCACTGTCACTCCTCGTGCGTCCCAATGTCCCTCTGTCACTCCTCGTGCGTCCCAATGTCCCTCTGTCACTCCTCGTGCGTCCCAATGTCCCTCTGTCCCTTCTCGTGCGTCCCAATGTCACTCCGTGCGTCCCAATGTCCCTCTGTCACTCCTCGTGCGTCCCAATGTCCCTCTGTCACTCCTCGTGCGTCCCAATGTCCCTCTGTCACTCCTCGTGCGTCCCAATGTCCCTCTGTCACTCCTCGTGTGTCCCAATGTCCCACTGTCACTGTCGTCCCAATGTCTCTGTCTCGTGCGTCCCAATGTCCCTCTGTCACTCCTCGTGCGTCCCAATGTCCCTCTGTCACTCCTCGTGCGTCCCAATGTCCCTCTGTCCCTTCTCGTGCGTCCCAATGTCACTCCGTGCGTCCCAATGTCCCTCTGTCACTCCTCGTGCGTCCCAATGTCCCTCTGTCCCTTCTCGTGCGTCCCAATGTCACTCCGTGCGTCCCAATGTCCCACTGTCACTCCTCGTGCGTCCCAATGTCCCTCTGTCCCTTCTCGTGTGTCCCAATGTCACTCCGTGCGTCCCAATGTCACTCCGTGCGTCCCAATGTCCCTCTGTCACTCCTCGTGCGTCCCAATGTCCCTCTGTCCCTTCTCGTGCGTCCCAATGTCACTCCGTGCATCCCAATGTCCCACTGTCACTCCTCGTGCGTCCCAATGTCCCTCTGTCACTCCTCGTGCGTCCCAATGTCCCTCTGTCACTCCTCGTGCGTCCCAATGTCCCTCTGTCACTCCTCGTGCGTCCCAATGTCCCTTCTCGTGCGTCCCAATGTCACTCCGTGCGTCCCAATGTCCCTCTGTCACTCCTCGTGCGTCCCAATGTCTCGTGCGTCCCAATGTCCTCCGTGCGTCCCAATGTCCCTCTGTCACTCCTCGTGCGTCCCAATGTCCCTCTGTCACTCCTCGTGCGTCCCAATGTCCCTCTGTCACTCCTCGTGCGTCCCAATGTCCCTCTGTCACTCCTCGTGCGTCCCAATGTCCCTCTGTCACTCCTCGTGCGTCCCAATGTCCCTCTGTCGTCCCAATGTCTCCTCGTGCGTCCCAATGTCCCTCTGTCACTCCTCGTGCGTCCCAATGTCCCTCTGTCACTCCTCGTGCGTCCCAATGTCACTCCGTGTGTCCCAATGTCCCTCTGTCACTCCTCGTGCGTCCCAATGTCCCTCTGTCACTCCTCGTGCGTCCCAATGTCCCACTGTCACTCCTCGTGCGTCCCAATGTCCCTCTGTCACTCCTCGTGCGTCCCAATGTCCCTCCGTGTGTCCCAATGTCCCTCTGTCACTCCTCGTGCGTCCCAATGTCCCTCTGTCACTCCTCGTGCGTCCCAATGTCACTCCTCGTGCGTCCCAATGTCCCTCTGTCACTCCTCGTGCGTCCCAATGTCCCTCTGTCACTCCTCGTGCGTCCCAATGTCCCTCTGTCACTCCGTCGTCCCAATGTCACTCCGTGCGTCCCAATGTCCCTCTGTCACTCCTCGTGCGTCCCAATGTCCCTCTGTCACTCCTCGTGCGTCCCAATGTCCCTCTGTCACTCCTCGTGCGTCCCAATGTCCCTCTGTCACTCCTCGTGCGTCCCAATGTCCCGCTGTCACTCCTCGTGCGTCCCAATGTCCCTCTGTCACTCTCGTCACTCCTCGTGCGTCCCAATGTCCCTCTGTCACTCCTCGTGCGTCCCAATGTCCCTCTGTCCCTTCTCGTGCGTCCCAATGTCACTCCGTGCGTCCCAATGTCCCTCTGTCACTCCTCGTGCGTCCCAATGTCCCTCTGTCCCTTCTCGTGCGTCCCAATGTCACTCCGTGCGTCCCAATGTCCCACTGTCACTCCTCGTGCGTCCCAATGTCCTCTGTCTGTGCCTCCCAATGTCACTCCGTGCGTCCCAATGTCCCTCTGTCACTCCTCGTGCGTCCCAATGTCCCTCTGTCCCTTCTCGTGTGTCCCAATGTCACTCCGTGCGTCCCAATGTCCCACTGTCACTCCTCGTGCGTCCCAATGTCCCTCTGTCACTCCTCGTGCGTCCCAATGTCCCTCTGTCCCTTCTCGTGCGTCCCAATGTCACTCCGTGCATCCCAATGTCCCACTGTCAC